GTGAGACGACTAGTCAAATAACAAGAGCATTAGTGGCATGGCAAATCCTAGCTCGTCCAAAGAAAGAGCGAGGGCTGAGAATTAGAGACTTCTCTATTTGGAACGAAGTCCTTGAGTGGATCGCTGTGGTTGGCATGAAAGACATTGAAATGTAGAGGTGAAGTGAGGCCATTTATCTTGGGCCAAGGTTAGGACCTAAAATCGAATCTCTTCAATTCGAATATCTAAATTTGAATAGTTCCAATAACTTAAGGCTTGTGGTTTGATTCGATCAAAATGTCAATTCAATCTATCTTCTATTTTTTAGTATTTACAAAATTCGTCAGATAAAATACCAGACCACATTATATTCAATTCGGTATAATCAAATGCTGATTTTATTTGATGCAGTCTCATACAAACCAAACCATTGTACATTCCTACACTTCATGAACAAACATTGAGCTAAGATCTCCGAATCGAGTTCCGATTTTCCATAACAGAAATATATAGAAAAATCACAGCATGGGACTGGTCTAAAGTCTAAACTCTAAAGTGAAAAGAAGGTGGGAAGGGTAAAACACTCTCGAGAGACATAGTAGCATAAGACCAGTGTGAATCTACTCACCCCGCATCATGAAGGTGAGGGTTTAGGTGGAATTGAGGAACCATAGTTTAGCAAAAAAAAAAAAAAAAAAAAAAAAAAAGAAAACATCCGTTCTCATTTTTCATTCCATGCAGCAAGCAGAGTTTCCCCTGAATCCGAAAAGGTGAATTTTGTTATGCAAGAAGAAAAGAGCAGCAGCGTACCATAAAGAAGAGCAGCAGAAGACTCTTTTAATGAAATGCACTGCAGCTGAAGGCTGAAGCGCCAAGTGGGAAGAGTCTAGCGGTATAACATTGGAGGACTGGACATCTGCAGGTATTGCAGGTAATAAACTTGATCAGATATTGCAGGTTATGAACTTGTCATAACAAAAGACTGGAATCTCATTCGTTTTCCCCCCTTCCTTTTCAGTCATTTAACAAAGAAGAAAAATGATGAAGGTGTGAGGTGTCAGTAATGGTGATTCAACATACATAGGAATAGGAATATAGGATGGGAGAGGGTTCAGAGCGGGGAGTGGGAAATACCACATCAGGGAAAAGAAGAGAGTTTCAGAGGGAGAAGAGGGTATAAAAATAGAGCTTAGTCCTACCGTACAACATACTTACCTGGACGGGATCTACGGGCGATCAATAAGGCTTGTGGTCTAGGCCAGTGACCTCCATTGCACTTTGCGGAGGGGCGCTGGGCTAAGGTCTCCCCAATGTGGGAGAGCCTACGTCATAATTTGTTGCTGAGGGGGCCTGCGTTCGCGCGGCCCCTGCCCAATTCCTAGTTCAACTCATTCCTGAGCAGCTGAGCTCAACCGGATTGAGGATTTCACCAAATGGGTAACAAAATAAATGTGAAAAGAGAGCATAAAACTAAACTCTGAAATCTTGTATGATATCATGCTTTCACTGTTTTGATTACTCTATGCCTTACTCTCTACCTTGCTCTCCATGGCTTTGTGATTCCACCTTACAAGAGGATGCTTAACCAACAACTTTGAATCACCTGCCTGTAGTTTCTTTAAACGCAGTGTTACGACGAATCGCATGATGCCTGAAGGTGATGTATGAAAGGATCAGTTGGGAGCAATGCAAAGGGAGATACATACAAGAATATCAGAACACCTGAAGAAAAGCAAATCAAAGCTAAAGAATGGCCAAAAGTGGCAACATCTGCATTCTCCAAGTGGTCAGAAGTCAGCAGATTTTCCTCTAAACCAAAATTTGAGAGCTTTTCACTAGGCTTTTGGGGTTCTCATGTTTTCACCAGAACCAACCTTCCTACGCTTAGCCAGAGACCTTTCTGCTTCTGATCCTTCTTCTTCTTGTTGTAGACTTGATGAACATGTTTGGGCTCTGTCTCAGTGTCTCTACATGGATATCAGCCAAGTAAGATTGAATCTACTGATTCATAAACTTTGGGCCGGGTCTTAACCTAATGTGTCCCAACTATCCACAGGCCCATACTCAATTTACAGTCCAAATTATTTCGGTCAAGCACACAGAATGGCCCCTCTCTCTTTGCTCCATGCCCAGCAACTCTGAAGGTAGAAGATTGGTAGAAGTGACAAACGCTCCCTAGAGCCAACGCCAGACAATTTGTGTCCATAGTGGTGTTGTTTACTGCATTGGAAGTGTTAGTTTTCTTCCGAGTATCATCTGATGTCTCAAATATGCCTGCAGCTGGTGGCCTATCTCCGTAATTCTTTTCCCCCCACTAATTTTGTCGTTACAGAGTTGGACTGGAACAGAGACGAAGAATAATATATTTGGACGAATATCAATGTCTAATATTGGCCGGAAAAGTTGTATCATTAGCAGGATGGTTCAGGAAAGGGTATAATGAAGGTGATGAAACAAACAAAAGGGTTGCCCTGCTGTCTGTCAGGAATCAAGGTGGAATTTGCCCACTCACTTTCCCTTTCTTTGATGAGGACGAGTTGCTTTCAAAGCTGATTTTCCAGTGTTCACCTCTCTAGGTCAATCGTCCAATATCCCCCAACATGCAATTTTCGTCGTTGGCTTTTATCTTATCTAAAGTAAAACCGCTGTGAGCAAAGGCTTCGCGATAAAGCGAGCGTTAGGAAAAGTCCATGTCCGAATTCTCGAACATATTACACACTTGCTATATTGACTAAGTTCTGTATAACTCTATTATGGTCGTGCACCAGAGTTCCATTACTGGTATGAAGAAACGGTTGGAGTCCACTTGTATTAATTATATGGGAAACAAAAAAAATTCGATCACGATCTCTTTCCATAAGAGGATCGACAAGTGAGAGCTCTGTCAACAAGTGAGGAGATGAAGGGAGCACGAGAGTTTAGTTAGTAAGAAGGTGTAGAAAGACTTCTTTCAAGGTTGGCTCCAACAGTAGCTCAATCCTTGGTTGCGAACATTACTCGTTAGTATAACTAGGTGTCGATGTCGCGACATGTCGCGAAGTGGAGATGGCCTATGGGCATATATTATATGACCCGTTATGATATTTTGTTAGTATTATTAGTCTAAAATTAATTTTTTGTTAGCAGTTTTGTTAGTAATATTGACTTGGCAATATGATTTGACTGAAAAGATATATATGGTGGTTAACATCCAATTTAATTTTTTTTTGAAAATTTTGGCTAGTAAATTATATTTACCTAAACCCAAGTAGAGTCATTGATTATCGGTAGGGAATGCGTTACGTATATATTGGTTTGGACGTTTGTAGATGGGTTTGGGTAGGGTATGAATATTTACTTTCATAATCTAAATGTGTATGAGGATACCCATTTATTCTAGCGTGTTTTAATTATACATACAAAAATTAGACCTATTTTTTTTAAAAACTTCAAAAGTTTAGGTACCAAAATTTAATACAAAAAAAATTTAGATACTAAAATGTAATGTTCCATCAATATTTTGAGGACTTATATGCCAACAAATTAAATTTAGATTATAAATCTAAAGATCTATTAAGTTTAGGTACAAAATTGTAATTTGCATCGTTGAGGCTTAATTCCTTTTATGGTGATGTATTTAAGATTATAATTATTTACTTCTATATAGAAAATGAAAGATGTTTATTTGATATGTGTAGATACCAAGCAAACATTCCATGTATAATTGTTGAAAATTCTAGCCCGGGTGAATAAGAAAAACCCTAGAGAGAAGCAACTCGCTTAAAATTTCACGCCTTTAAATCTCATAGTGGAACATGAAAAATTTATAATAATTAATAAACATATATATATATATATATATATATATATTAATTGGACTCGACATTAAGTTAAAAAAGTTAGTGGGTCATGGTTCAATTATTAGTTCTCTAGACTGTTGGTGAGTTATGTACCGACCCGTTCATACTTGTGATTAGAGTACATAAAAATAGTATACTAATTTGGGTTAGACGAAGTAGGCAGAGAAAAAAATAAAGAAAGGGTTATGGAAGGCGAGTGAAAAATGAAACGAAGAGGAAGTAGATGATGAAAATTTTTTGACCATTTCTTTTAGTTGGCCATCAATACAAAAGTCAATCATTTTCACCGTAGCAATTTATTGACACTTGCTTATGTAGATGTCGCATATTTTGTTACATGTAGTTAGTAGAAGTTTGTTTAGTACCCGTAAATGTACTAAATGAGTTCATAAATTCGCTCTTGCAATATTTTAGAGTCGTCTTTCTTTTATCATTTATTTAATGTTTCACATAATGAGGCAAACTAAATTTATACGTCGATTGGATTCATGTATTGGTTCAAAAGGATTGGTGGATTGTATTCATGGATTCAAGTGAAATCTAAACAGTGGACCAATATGTAAATTTAAAAAATTGTAGGTACAAAAATCTCATAAAATTTAGATACCAAAACATAATTGTTCAATGATTTTACATTAAAATTAAATTTGGGTATCAAAATGTAAAATATACATTATAGTGACTAAGTTGTGATTTAATTAAATTTGGGGTATGAAAATGTAGCATTTTATGCAATAGTAACCTTACTTCATATTTATATATATTAAAAAAATTAAATTTGGGGTATCAAAATATAAAATGTACATTATTGTGACTAAGTTGTGATTTAATTAAATTTGGGGTATCAAAATTTAACATTTTATGCAACAGTAACTTTACTTCATATTTATATATATATATAGTCAAATTGTCTCTTGGGATGTCCATCTCACAACGTTAGGATGAGCACTGTGAGGGTTTGGGTGAAATTTTTTTTTCTTCCTAAACTCAATGCAACTCACTCATCACTTGACAAGTGATGAATCCACAACAAATCAAGCACGTACTTGTCGACGAGTTGGGTTGGATGAGGAAGGTTACTGGTTGAATAAGATAATTCAGGAGGCTAAGAACACAACTTGTAAGAAGTCACATAATTCAATTCGTCTCAACATTCGTTCCTATCTTAGCACACATCCAATTAAAACTACCCTCACCTTATTAATAAATATTATAACAAGCTGGTGTGGAGAAAGCTGCAAACTCCCCCAAATTGAGCATAAGCTGGTTGGTGGCAAAAGAACAGTGAAAGGATGAATTAAAAGGAAAAGGGTTCAGAGTCAGAGTAAGTGGTGGCATTCTAATGGCAAAGCTGCTCCCCATCTTCTTCCCCCTAGCTACCCTTCTTCTTCTTCTGCTCAATTTCTGCCAATCCAACATACTTCCCCAACTACCCAACAAAGGTCTTGAGACAAGCAATTGATGTTGATTTCCAAGCTGTGAGTTGGTGCCAAGCAAGCCCACTGGAGGCCTTCTTTCTTTCTTTCTTTCTTTCTTGGAATGGGATGGAATGCATTAATATGATACTCACATTCCCATGCTGGCATGCTTTTTCTAAGACCAAAAGGCAGAGCATTTTGTTGATTTATTAAAAAGGATCCCATGTGGGTGTTTGTTGATTGTCACAATCCAAAAAAGCTGTTGAATTAGCTAACACTATTTAATCTTCTAATGTTTTCCCCCCACCAAATTATTGCTTGATGTCCACCAAAAGAAATCAGTGCTTGATGCAAAGTTTTCTTATAGGGCCCCTCAAATTGATGAGCCTCTAGATACCCTAGGGAATAGATGGGCGCATTAATATTATGATTTATGGATCCATCAAAGGGTTTCTCTCGGTGTATCACGAGATGTTCAATGTAATCCCACGAGTACTAGGCTGATATTTTCCCAAATATCCATTCTTTTTGGTGTAGAAGTAGTTTAGAAGTTATGTGTTTTTTTTTTTTGTTGAAAGACAATTTGCATTATCCAGAATCAAAGATTCAAAGAGCCAATAGATAGAAATTATCAAACTCGGGAATTCTAACCGGCCACATTAATAGGGTATATCAGCAAGGTTTGGCTAGCTACAAGATGAACCACCTTATCATTGTATTATTTAGTAAACACTAGATATCCTTATCGATTAGGATTTTATTATTTAGTAGACACTAGATAGTAGATACCCTATTTCACACTTTACTTCCACCAATTGAATGCTTGAAAGAATGAAAGGGAAGTGACATCTTCTTTTATAGCGATGGCGACGAGAGAGGAGAGGACAGAAACAGTTGCCTCAAGCATCATGCCAAAAAATATTAGGGAAAATCACATTTTTATAAATTTTCATTTCTAGCACATACTAAAAAATGCAGTTAAATGACACTAGATCTTTGGTTTTAGTATAAAAATGGATAACAATAGTAAAATAATTATTGATCGATTATTTGGTTAATATTTAGTATCGTCATATTTCTTATTAAGTACGTAAAAAATATGAAAGCATTCGACATGAAAACAGACAAGTAGGAGTAATTGCAAGGAAATAGATAGCTAACAACCACATGTGATGGGAGTTGGGACGAGATGATATTATTGGCTCCAAAAATTAATCATGCCCTGTCGAAACAAAGATTGAAGGTGACTAAGATGGTGAATTATAAATAAGTTAATACAGTTAAACTATTCTTTATCTCAGTCATTACTTACATGCTAATACAGCTCTGATCGAGATGATCATTGTTTAAGTTAAATGTGAGGATGCTCCACTGCTCATATTTCCAGATCCTCACAGTCCTCAACCTTCTTCTTCTCCTGACTGATTTTGTTTTCTACCTTTTGTCTTTCCCCCTTCTTCTCTCCTTGGCTGTGGAATTCCTACTTTCTATGCAAAAATTCCCAATATTCAACTGCAAAGATCATGGTTTTTCCCTTATATAAAAAAAGGGATCTTTGGGAGTCCCTCCCTCCAGTCCAGCAGTGTTTCAGTACTTTATTTTAACCCTCACCTTTTGACTTTCTGACAGCTGATTAGCAACCCCTAATAAAGAACTTTGCCCTACAAATCAAACCAAAAGTATCCCATAAATCATAATCTAGCATTATTACAATGGACTCACATCATGTCATGTCTGTTTGGATTAAATGCATAATCACTTTAAGGAGACTTATTGCAGAAACAAGCTACCAACCAATAAATCAACATTCTTTCCTCCTTCAAGTTTAGATAATAACTGAATGATTCATTAACAAACCAACCAACCAACAAAAACAAGAAAAATGATCCTTCCTTCACAAACTAACAGTCATCATCATCAATTCATCATCAATCACTTCTGCTGGTTACAAAGAAGAAAATGAGGGAATACTGACAGTCACTTGTTGCAACAAAGGGTCCCAGAAAATGTTGGGACCCGGTGAAGAAGAATCCGGCGATCAATCTAACAGGAGGCCTTCAGAACACCAGAATTTCAAGCATTACACATTAACCCTCTACCCAAATTCTCACACATTCATGGATCAATGCAGTAACAAAGCCGGATTCGTCTTCCCCGGATAATAACTCATGATAAATCATAATCTAATTACCCACCTAGTTATTCCTATTGTCATCATAATCTCAAACCTTGATTAATCCTGTTGGCCTTCTGATGGACATCTGATCAGCTCCAATATGTTAACCACCTCCCCCATGTCAGGTCGGTTCGATGGCACTTGCGAAGTACATATCAAACCCAGTTTCATAACCGGAATCGCCTCATCTGCTGGAAATGCATCTTGAAGCTTCTCGTCGATGCACTCTTCCACCTTTCCTTCCTCCAGTGCTCCTCTCACCATGTCACAAAGCACCACGACGTCGTCTTCCATGTACTCCACGGGCTTCCTCCCGGTGACTATCTCCAGAATCAGAACTCCAAATCCATACACATCGCACTTCTCGGTGATCTTCACCGTTCTGCAAGCAAACTCAGGCGCCATGTACCCAAGCGCGCTCTGGATCTTGCTGCTCAACACGTATCGGTCCAGCATTGGAAGCAACCTCGCCAGCCCAAAGTCCCCCACTTTAGACTCGCCTGTTTCGCCATCGATGAGTACATTACTGGACTTGATGTTGTAGTGGATGATGTTCGATTGGTGCAAATGTGCTAGCCCTTTCGCTGTGCCTAGGATCAGATTGAACCTCTCATTCCATGACAGAAGGTTACCGCCGTCGTGGAGATGCTTGTACAGACTACCTCCGGAGACATACTCGTAAATGAGCAGCTGCAGCGATGTAGTCCAGTAGTAACCATCCAATTGTACGAGATTCTGGTGGCGAATCTTCCCCAGCTTCTTGACTTCCCTCTCGAAATCATCTTGTGACTTGACAAGGCTCGACACGGTGAGCTTCTTGATTGCAACTGGGTTACCATCTCTAAGAACAGTACGGTACACTGCTCCGAACCCTCCACGCCCAAGTTCGCAGTCCTTGTTGAGAAGAGCATGTGTTCCAGCACTGAAGAAGTCAGGATCTCCCGAAAACATGACGAGCTTGCCAGATTTGGGGTCTGTAGTATGCGAACGGCTAAAGTCATCATCGTCACCACCCTCAGAGTATGTTGTCAATGCAGCTGCTGATCGGGAAGTTGCTTGAACTCTGAGATTGAGCACAGTGATGGCAATCACACCTACCACAATCAGAGCTGCTGCACCAATGGCAACGAGGGCTGATATGCTGAGTATGGTTCTCTTGCGACTGAGACTGTTCTGTGGGATTGAGCCATCGGCTGTCTCCTCGGATGTGGAATTAGGATTGAGGACAATGGGTTTCGGAAGGACTGTATGGCAAGTTCTGTTGACAACCGCGCCACATAGAGATGGATTGCCAGACACGGAAGATGGCGAGATGGTGTTGAAGAAACCACCGGAAGGTAGTTCGCCTTGCAGGCGATTGTGGGAAATGTTGAATGTTGCTATGTTAGGAAGGTTGGATAGCTGCTTTGGTAAGGTGCCAGAGAGAGAGTTGAGAGATAAGTCCACATTTTGTATGCTGGCGAGTTTACCTAATGAGGATGGTATTGGTCCACTCAATATGTTCCCAGAAAGGATTCTGCATATAGAGAGGGAAAAAAATGATCTTTCTTTCAGCAACTTCAGTAAGTCAAGTTGTAAGCAGCACAAAAGGCAAACTCTAAATCTCAAATCAAGCAACAATTTCAATGAAGAAAGAAAAGAGAGTTGCAGAGAGAAGAGGCAGATAATGCTTACAGTGTAGTTAGTGACGAACAGTCTCCAATTGAACTCGGAATCTGGCCAGATAGGAAATTAGAATCCAGTTTAAGAACGTTTAGAGAGATAGCTCCACCAATCTCCATAGGGATGCTTCCGTTCAACTTATTTGTGCACAAGTCTAGAACTTCCAGTTCCTTTAACTCTCCAATGGCGCCTGGTATAGGACCTGTAAGCGAGTTCCCAGACAAATTCAACACCAGGAGTTTGCTTTGGTAATCAATAGTGGAAGCAATATCACCAGAGAACTCATTGTCGGACAAATCCAAATACTCCAACTTCGGCCCCGCCGACAAGTGCAAAAGCTTCGCCGACCCAGATCCAAAAATCCACGCTGGTAGCCCGCCACCCAACGAGTTATGGCTAAAATCCAAGGTCGAGAGGCTGCCACAGCTGGATATGGAATCTGGGATGCCGCCAGTTAGACGATTCCCGGAAAAGTTCAAAACTTTAAGCACCTCAAGATTCCCAACCGAAGCAGGGACGCGACCAGAGAGCTTGTTCCCAGAAAGATCCAAACTTTCCATGCTTTTCAGCTCCCCAATCCAGCTCGGAACTTCACCCGTCAGGGAGTTACTGGAGACGCTGAGAGAATAACAGAGCCTCAGATTCCGCATTTTTCCTGGAAGATACCCAGAGAGCGAATTCCGGCTGAAATCGACGGCCCTCAGCAGCAAACATTTCCCAATCCCGCCGGGAATTTGCCCAGTAAATCGATTCTTGCTCAAGTTCACAGCACGCAAGTTGTTGAGAGCCTCAATCCCTTGAGGAATTCCGCCCTCGAGCAAATTATCAGACAAATCAAGCGACCTCAGCCCCTTCAAGCCCCAAATGCCAGGTGGCAGAGACCCAGAGAGCCGATTGGAGCTGAAGTCTACAGAAACCAGAGCAGAACACGAGCTCAAAGACGCCGGAAACTTGCCGGAGAACTTGTTTTCAGCCAAAGAAATTGCTCGGAGAGACCCACATTGGGCGAAAAACTCGTCGGGAATTGGGCCGGAGAGAGCATTCCCGCTCAAATCGAGGGTAGTGAGATTCTGGAGGCGCGCGAGGAGTTGAGTAGGGAAAGAACCGGTGAGGTTGTTTCTGGAGAGGGTTAACTTACGGAGAAATTGGAGCTGCAAGAGACCCCGCCCGATCCGACCCGAGAGAGATAACCCGTCGAGGGAAAGTTCGGTGACCCGGTTAGATCTGGGGCTACATTTCACTCCCACCCAGCCGCAGGGGCTGTAGTCGTCTTGGTTCCAAGATGCGAGCTTTCCTTTCGGGTCTTGAAGGTCGGATTTGAACACAATCAGACCCAGTACGTCGTCGTTGAGGGACGGGAACAGAGATCCCAAGCAGCTTACAACCAAGGCGAGAAGAAGAGGCAGCAGAAACAGAGGCCTTCCCATCTTCAGCATTGCGGTGGAGAAATCAAACCATTTGAGGAAAAAGATTGAGTCTTTGTTTGAATTGAATTAGCCCCGCCAGAAATTTCCAACTGGGTAGGTAACCGCGGAACGGGAATGTGAAAAGGGAGAATCTTTTTGCTCGATGGAAAGGGGGGAAATGACGAGGAGATGTGTATGGAGTATGGCCCGGTATTTTTGTTCTGTACCTGTTTCTCAAACGGCTAGGCTCATGTGAAGGAGCTATATAGGTCGGCTACCAGAAGCGTTGACAAAAGGCGAGGAGGGTGAGGACAAGAAGAAAAGAATAAAGCAGCTGAGTTCATCAATGGCTGAAATGAGCTAGAGAGAGAGAGAGAGTTGGAGAAAACAGAGAAGATTTCTGTGGCGGGTTGTGAAAATGGTTGACAATGCAGTAGGTGGAAGTTGAAGTGCTAGTGTTGCATTGTGGAGCAGTGGCCGGAGGTTGCGGAGGGGAGGAGAAGAAGACGAAGCTTTGACGGTTGCCGGGAAGAGGGAAGGAGTGGAGGGTTTTATTTGCTTTGTGGAGTCTTGTCGTGGGGTTTGTCCTGAGAGATGAATAGAAGAGAAAGCTTGAGAAAGAAAAAGGAAGAGTAATGGAAGAGAGAGGGATAGAGGGAGTTAGTTAGGTTCATTAAAGTAATGGAGAGTGGAAGAAAAGAGAGGGGGAGGTGGGGCAGATAGGTTGGTCGGGTCTATTTATTGAGTTTGGACACGTGGGATGGTGTATGAGGTGGAGGATTTTGCCTAGGTGGCGTTCCAGCTTTGGTGGTATGTTCTACTAGCTTTTACCCGACCCGATTGGTCGGATGAATTTTGTATTATATTTTGTTGTTTTGTATTAACCAATTTGCATATTTTCAAAAAATTTACAGTCTTTTAAATAGTTTATTCATAAAGGGAAAATAATATTTGTGTTACTTTTGAATTTTATATTAGTAAGTAATTAGTTCTGGTGATGTGGCCATCCTAGGTTACTGGTATCTATATTTTTTTATATTTTAGAAGAAAATTTTATACTTTTTTACATTCAATATAAATTGCTTAAATTGTTTTTCTTTATAAGATTTGTTATTATCGATGTACGGATCCATACCTCTTGAATTCCAAAAAAAACATGTAAAATTTCTAAAGTGAATATAAAAAAGAACAAAATGCTACCGGTTATATTTCATATTCGCTACCACACACGGTGAAAGAACCTGGAAAACAAAAGTCACTGTAGGTCAATTTAATTTTGTTGTTAGGCAATTTATCAGTGAAAAGAGAATGAGGCCCGACAATAAAAACTATAGGTTAGCACAATTGTTTGAGCCCAAATTAGATGAATAAAGCAGACAACTCTGAGTTCTCAAAGAGAGCTTTCACAAATATCTAAGGCTAGCAGTTTCAGTAATAGAAAATATATGTGCACATCAAAACTCATCGCAACTTTCAGTTCCAGCCCTAGCCCGCCAAAATATTGATCTTTCCTTCTCCTTCTTTTGCTGCAGCATTTCAATTCACATTCTAAAAATAGAAACATCAGCAGAATCAAGGCTATTTGTATTAAATGTTACGTTATGGGGTCTGATTCATCGGCAGGGTGGCTGACCACCTTATTGCCGAAAAACTTGGCAACTTCCCAACCAATTCACCGCTTTCGGTCAAGCGCTCACATCATCCATCATTTATCTATCTAACTCTTAACATATTTGGTTTCTGATCTGGCCATGGCCGGTGAAATGAAGATGTTGAGTTTTGTATCTTGCCCATGGTTGGAACTTGGAAGTGATGGTGGCGGTGGCGGAACATTGGGTGTGATGGGAAGCATTTGTAATTAGGAAATGCACCCAGACCCCAGTTGACTATCTTAGCTGTGAAATTAAAAATAAATTTATGAACAAAAATAGGTGCATATGTACCCAAAAGAGGGGTAAATTATCTGTTAAAGACTACATCATTACTAAGTCATGATTGAGGAATTAGCATCCACACGAAGTTGGAATCGTCGAAGATTACAACTGGGTGTCTAAAGTGCAAATATAGTAACAACGGGGGAATAACCAAAATCAGCAAGTGTTTGGCTGAAAAACCACAGTGATTTCCATTAAAATTTCTCATCTAAATTGGTGACATGATTGTCTGTAACTGAAATTGGTTTGGTATATTTAAAGGTTCTACTATGAAATAATAGCAAGAGATCCCTCAAGAGATCTTGTATCAATGATGAAAATGAGGTAACGATTCTTGTCATATGAACATATAAAACATCAACGAAAGGAGGCATACTGAAAGCATAGTGGAAGATAAGTTGAACAGAATGAGAACAAACTGTAAACTTGTCGTTGTTGAAAATTAAGAGGCATATTAGAACAAAGTTACTAACTGGGCATTGATAAAGAACAATTAGTCTAGGCACGTACCAGCGTAGTTTTGATAATAATGAAACATCTTTGTTGGTGATATAGCAAAGGAGCTTTGTGTTTCACTAATGTCGAAGCGGTGGGAACTGGGAAGACACTACAAAGCATGTTTGGAGTCGGAAACCATGCATAGTCCTTTTTGTTAATGAGAAATTGCAGGCCATGTCAACAATGACAGAGAAAATAATTAGGAAAAACAAACCAAGTTATTACAAAGAAATAGACACACGCCTTGAGAGTTCTTTTTCAAGTAGATAATAGAACTTTTGACTCCTAAAATAGATAGATTCAGCAAACTTTTTTTTTAAGTGATAGATTCAGCCAACTTAATTTCGTACAACTTGAAAGCCAGATCGAACTGGATAAATATCTAAACCAAATAAAAAAATCGAAACCATATAGCAAAAATGACTAAAAGCTTTAAGAATAAAATGTCCCAAACTCCAAAGCGTTATATAATGCAAGTAAAATAGCTTATACTGACAATTCAATTGTAAATGAGTTTATAGGATCATATACTGGAAGGCTCAAACTAATCGCTTCGAAGTGTGGGAATAGAGCTAGTAATAAGGAAACACGTGAATGAAAAACATTGAAATTGATCAGATCACACATTATAATGGTCACCTTTAGGGCTGTTAATGAGCCGAGTCGAGCCGAGCTTTGCCATAGTTCGGGCTCGGCTCGTTAATATATTTCCAGGCTCGAGCTCGGCTCGTGTTCGTCACGAGCTTTAATATGCAAGCTCGAGCTCGGCTCGTTTATGAAAATGAAAGCTCGAGCTCGGCTCGTCAAATAAGCTTAACGAGCCCAAAATCAAGTTCAGCTCATAAAAATGTTCATGATAGCTCAAGATTGTGCTAGAACTATGCACAAAATTACATTTAAATCTGTAGCAAAGTAAAACACAATATTTATCCCAATTTCAATACATAAAATCCATGAATTCTAATTCTTTTTTTTATGCCAAACCATTAAATGAGCTTGTTCGCGAGCTTTCGAGCTGAACATGGTATGGCTCGAGTTCGGCTCGTTTAGTTAACGAGCTTGTTCGCGAGCCGGCTCGATTAAAACGAATCGAGTATCAAACGAGTTTTTCTCGAATCGCACACCGAGCCGTTCATGAGCGGCTTGGTTCATTAACAGCCCTAGTCACCTTCTAGAGCAGAACGACTAAAAGTGAGACAAACGGCTAATAAAGCAGTAGGGAGGAGAGGACATAAATGCACCGACTAACTCACCCGGGGTAAGCATCAACCCCCATAAATTTGTAAGGCTTCATTCGTTGGAGTGATAAACATATATCAGCCGAAAGTACAGGCCTGAAAGACGACATATGGATCATAGACCCCTACTCTCGAATCATACATACAAACACTGCATATTGAAAGTAGGCTAATGTATCTGAAAATGTAGAATTGATTAGTCTCCCCCACCAAATTACCCTACATTTAGAAAATATGCTAATTGTTTAAACCACTAACTAAAACTCAACCAAAAGAAGCAGTTCATGCATTGAAGCCATATCATGGCAAGAAAAGCAAGTCCTGATTTTGAGAACTAAAACCCACAATCAAGAATTGGAGGACCATGCCAGGAAATAGAAAGAAATAAAGCCAAACCATAAAGAGGAGACTTCAATATCTCGGAAGCCAAGGGTCAACTTTGATAGCAGGGTGGAAGATATAATCGAAACCTGAGCTGAGCAGCATCTGGTGCATTGCCATAAGCCATCCTGCAAATCTGTGCATTTGAGAGCAGCAAGTCAATTATCAGAAAATTGCCAAGAGATTCCACTAAATTAAGGTGAGTAACTCCAAAGAGAGAACAAAGGAGTCAAGAAATATTTAAACAAAACATTGAGGTATAACCGACCAAAACAATAGCTTATAAAAAAAGGTCAAAATCCGCAAACCTCCCTCATCATTGCCTATCCGCCATCGAAATAGACCATTAAGACGGGTGTACTATAATCATATATGGGCGGAACCATCCCTGTCTAGGCTAGCATGATCCTCACATGACCTGGAATTAAAATATATACGATGCAACAAATGAAACAACACAAATACATGTGATCGTCCTGCCAGTTGGTCACATAGGTCGAAACCCTCCTGAAAAACTTGGCCTTGAAAGTGTCCCACACCTGGTACTTGTAGTGGTTGATCATCGCCGTCCCCTCCGCCACGTTCGTCGACTTGTACCCTTCCCTCAACTTGAAGTGATGCACAATGTTCAGCAGCGTCATGTCGAGAAGGTCTGGTCGGACGAAGGACTTGTGCCTTTCAGGAGCCTGCAGCCTGCAAGTGTAACCTACCATCACACCTTGCTTCGGCGGTTCTGTCAGCCCTGATGGGCCGAAGCTGTGGCACATTGTCCTCACCTCCGCGATCGTGGGCTAATCGGTGTCGTTCGAGACCATGGCGCGGAGCGAGTTCTGCCCTGGCAAGGGGGTTTGGCCACTGTAGTGAGGGAAGTAGAAGAACTCGTCGACGTCGAAGAAGCCGACCCACTTGCACTCGTACTTTGCTCTCAGAGCACAATGCGAGAACCCTGCCTCCTGCGCTTTGATCCACGGCCAGACGTGCCTGGAGACATTGTGATTCCGCGTGTTGAGCTCGTCGGCGACGTCTTGTAGCCCGTCGTCGCTGTTGTTGTCGTAGATGAACCATCGCTCCACTCCCAGCCACGAGTGGTACATCACCCATTCCTTCAAAACCGACGCTTGATTCCACAGCATCGTGCAAGCGCAGAGCTCGTACTTCTCTTCCCCTTTCCCTCTCATTCCGTGGGATTTCGGGTTGTACACTTTCGCCACCGATGGCAGAGCTGCAGGGGAGGCCGAGGCAGGGGAGACGGCGGAGTCTTCGACGCGGCTGACGGTGACGCGGATTCCTTCGGCAAGCGCGGTGTTGTTTTTCCGGATGCAAGCAGCGGACCACTTCCTGAGTTGCGGCGGTGGCTTCGGTGGTGAAGACGAAGCTCTCCTCTCTGGTCAAATTGTTGCTCAGCGAGAAATGGCACCTGAATTCGGCCGGATCGACTTCCCTCCGTGGCTTCAGATTCAACCCTTTCGCCAACACCACCACCGTGTTCCAATCCAGAATCGCCTCGTAGACCACTTTCCCCCAATCGGGGACGGAATCAGAATTTTCCTCATCCGCCGTATGATTCGCCGCCCTCCTCGAAGAAGCCATCCAGTTCCCTTCCACAAACCTCGCCGCCGGGGCGCCGCAAATCCACGGCGGCGGAGTAGTTCACAGGCGAGAGCTCGCACCTCACAATCGACTTCCTTCTCCCTTTCACCTTTCCCCCTCTCTCTCTGTAATGTGATTGGAATTGCGATTCCCTTTCTGTCTCTCTCTCTCTCTCTTAATAACAGTAGAAAAAAAACAAAGGAACTTATGGAAGGGGAAAAGGAAGGAGCTTTGCCTCTGGGTTTTGTTGTTTTGCACGCTTCTTCAGTGTACCATTTCCTTCCTGGGAAATAAAAAATAAATTCAAATTAAATGACAACGTGGCCTGGCAGGAGAAAAGGTGGGTAGTGGACAGTTTTTTGGTTCTGAAATCAGGCGGGAACTCTTTTTTTTTTTCCCGCTTAACACTCTGCCACATCAGCTTCCTAAAATCACTCTATGGGCAGGAAATTTTGAATGGGGGGTGCAGTTTTACTTTTCAGCTATAAATTATACTGTTGATGTAGTGAGTCTAGGGGTGGAGGTTCGGTTCGTGCGGTTAAAATCAGTGACCGACCGGTCGATTATCGGGTCACCGAACAACCAGCTGCCCTTACCGAACACCGACCAGTAGAGTACCTCGGTTATTGGTTAGTTGTTTGGTTGATTGAGCTAACCGTTATAATACATTCGGTAACCGAACCGAAACAGTCCTGCATGACAAAAATCGTTAAAATTTCTAAAATTAAAGGTTCAAACCTACATTTCTACATCTAAATCACTCCCAAAGTCAAGTTTCAATGGCGGTGCAGGGGCGCCGGCGGAGCTCTCGACAAGGGCGGGGTTGTCGGTCTGAAGCAGCGAGGTCGCACAGAGGCGAAGTCGCGGGAGGATTGCGATCAGCGAAGGCGAGGCCGCGGCGAGGGGGCGACGGAGCGAGGGCGCGGGGGCGATGGAGCGAGGGCGCGAGTGGGCGGGCGGCGACGTCGCTTTTCCAACGTCTCTGCCTCTCTGGTTCGTCGCTACGAAGAGGAGAGAACGAGATGGGTGGGAGTGGGAGGCGATTCGCGAAGCAGGGGCGGTCAGGTCGAGTGATGGATTAGGTCATTAGGATTAAGGATTAGGAACTCTTAGGGGGGCGACGTCGTATTTTAGGTAAAAATGAGGGGGGTTAGCTGTTTTGGTTAGCCGGTTAATCGACGGTTATCACCGTCGGTCAAGGTTGTCAACCCGCGGGTCGACCCACTTTGACCCTGACCCGGTGAGAAAAACGTGCCATACGCACCCGTCGGGCCGACCGCTACAAGGTACTAGGTTGGAGGTCAAATTGTGTCATTTTTTTCTTTGGTTTGCGAAATGCGCCTATTTTCCATTTTTCTTTTCACCTAACTCAATCTTTGGAATCCTAAGTTGAACATTTGAATATTTATGTTATATAAGTGTGAATTTTCACTATATGTTGGATCTAACTACGATATGTTATTTTGGTGTAATATTATATGTTATAAGTCATATGCTAGGTAAGATTTGATATAATTTATGAGGAAAAGTATAATATAATGACTTTTTCTATATTTCCGGGCCAAACCGAGCTAAAACGGTTGACCCATTAACCCTTGACCCACTAGCTCGACCGGGTCTGGGTCAACCCGCGGGCTGACAACCTTGCCGTCGGTTACTCGGTCAACCGACACAGCTAATTCGCCATCCGACCACCGACCGACCACATTATTTTTCGGTTATTGGTTAACTGGCTAATTGTCGGTTATCGATTTAACCGGCAATTAACCGACAACCGGTAACCGAATCTCCACCCCAAGTAGTGACTAGGAATGACAATCAAACTCGAACCAAATACATATTTAATTCGACCCAATTCCGAGGCAGGCTTCCGACTCTGCTTCACTTCACCACTTGGAAGTGCTGGAAATACCTCATCTATACTTGTCTAGTTTGACGGATGCGAGTGTTCTTGTTTGTCTAATCATGAGTTCTCACAATTGCTTTGTATGTAATATGTTTACATCCATATCTAACTCAATCAGTTAACAAATTACTATGATTATTCGAAGCCGAGTAGTGGATTCGAACGCAGGAAGGGAGCTGGGGTCGACAGCGCAATAGCGATGTTGGAAGCAGAGAAGCTGAAGCTGCAGCCTGAAAATAGCAGTTGCTTAGAGTGCCTTGAAGTCTTCAACATTCAGAGCAGCAGCCTGGGAGACTTGCAGGTGGAAATGGAGCTGGTGAAGTTCGTGTTGGCCAACGCCAAGCAGCTTCGAAGAGTCCACATTACACCTCTGCCCCAAAGCTGGAAGCCGCAAGTGTTGCTAAGTACTTGAAGGATGTGACTGCATACAAGCGTGCTTCGACACAAGCTGAGGTTACATAAGATTGGGACGATCAACGATGATCATTAACCTTCTGCACGCTTCCTGCCCCTCTAATTGGGGCAATATGTGACACTGAGGTCTCTTCTTTTTATATAAAAACTGATGTATGAATTTACATTAACGTCTCTTCTTTTTATAGAAAGTGGAAATGGATGGAGGAAAAATTGTTCCCTTCCCTGTTCTGGATGGAGTTTTGGAGGGTAGACCCGAGACCCCCTAGCAAGGCATTGTTATCTCGCCTTGTTCATATTGCATGCCTGCATCAAAACGCCACAAACACAAGGGAACCAATATGCTCCCATCAGATTGATATCTTCGAGGCCAAGGCAGAGTGCGATATCAGAAATTCACTATTCCATAGATCGATAGCAGAAAGTAATCAACAATCTGCAGTATTCTATTCTCTTCAACACGCATATGAACATCGAACAAGCTTACCTACTAGTGTGGAGTTTGTCATTATGCAACCCAGCTCCACTGAGCTTGTGTGCCATCAACTCTTTTGGAACGAGAGGCCAGCTGCCCAAACCTCCCTCACACTTCTTCAACCTTTTATCATGACCACCTAAGTTACTTATGGGTTCACTCACATCATGCCATTACTAAACTATGAAAGGGCAGGAGAATGAATGAATTAAGGGGGCTCTCTTACCTGAGGAAGGCTCATCAGTTCAAGAACAGCTTTCTGCGGAGTCAGTTCGTTGTCAATGATCCGAGCAACTGCTGTCAGAACCGGCACCTTAACCTTGTACTTCTGAGCTAATGCAACCACTGCGCCTGCTGTTGACACCCCTTCTGCCACCTGAATGTGAGAAGATTGTCACCATTCAACGAAATGCCTTCAGTTAGTTCACTAATAAGTGGGAAAACACAAACCAAAATTCCAGTATTATCAAAGTAGGCAGCAAATATTGCAAACACCTGATTCATGGAATTCAATATCGATTCCAGACTCTCCCCTGATCCAAGTCGAACTCCAACTGTCCTGTTTCTTGAAAGACTTACAAAACATGTGAGCATGATGTCTCCTGTACCTGAAAGACCAGTAATTGTTTCTGGTTTGGCACCCATCTTCATGAAAGAGAGGGTTAAATTGTCAGATTACGAACTTTTGAACAATCGTCAACCAATTCTGAACATACTATATGGTAAACAAACTATTTATGAAGTAGTCACTTGTCAGCACAGCACATACAGCTTTCTATGGTGCAAGTGGTGCTTCTTATGACCCTCAGTTGAAAAATCTCATTGGAACATTGTGTCTCAGCTCAATCATGAACTCATTTCAAACAGAGTATAACATAATCTTTGTCCAACTTACTTTCAAAGACAACATTAAGAGTTTACAAGGAAAGAGCTTCCAGACTACATATGCTTGTCAAACCAGAGAGCGAATGCATGAGAGAACCAAATAAATCTTTTCTTTTGCATGGATTCATTCAAAATGTTACTGTCAGCTCTGGAATTGTCCAAAGGATGAAAGATTTCACCAAATTGAAAAAAAAGGCCATTTCCCAAGACTGCAATATATCTCCCATGCAAGCCACAGAAAGCTAGCACCTTGAGGAAAGACAAGATGGAGATGCTAAGTACATGCTCTTTGATCAGAAAAATGAAATCCTGTCAAATCATATGGTTTCTCCTGAATTTTTCAAAATTCAGACAAGGTAAGTTCATCATGTATATGGCTTATTCATATATTTTTTTTAACCACAAATGGATTCAAACAATTCAAGCTAAGCAGCTAACATATTACTATTGAAAAAAAAATGGCTTAATGAAGAGCAACGAAGATCTAAGGTACCTTTGTTGCTAGCCAGCGGATCTCAGAACAGCCTTGAGCAACTAGAGCTGCCATAGAATTATTACCGAGATTCATTCCTTCCACGATACCAGCCGCTATAGCAAGTACATTTTTCAACGCCCCTGCAATTTCAACCCCTGTGACATCACTGGGGTTATAGGAAGTTACATGCGGAACCACAAACATAAACTTATCAAAAACATTTTAAGGTGTACACATTCCTTAAAATCTTACACTCATTCTACATGACTTCATATTTGCAACAGTTTGTGCCATTTGGTCAACTATTTATACCATATTCAAACAGGAAAAGCAACATCATAATACAATAAAGGAACCGCCATTCACGGCACACTTAATGGGAATAGACGGTACAAAAACACAATGCATACCAATGAGCTAGTAGTTCAGGGAAGTCTCTACCTCGACGTGCTAATTCGTAAATGAGAAGAAGCCAGTAATTGCTGAGCAGCATTTGCTAGCCGTTTATCCTTGGAAGCCACCACCATTGCTGGATAACAGAAAGAACTACAGTCTGAAATAGAAAAAGAAGTGACTACATCCCTACGTCTTACTGCAAAATACAACAAATCTAGTCAAGTTACCTGTTGGTAATCTATTCATCAACTCCAGTGCAAAAGAAGGTCCAGAGAGTGCAACAAACGGCTGCCGAGGATTCTTTAATGCTTTCGGGATAATCTGAGACATGGTCCTCAATGTGTTAAGCTCCAACCCTTTACTGAGTGATATGAACGGTAAGCCAGGGTCAACACAGTCTGCAATACTCTCGAGGAACAACGAGCTAAACTGCAATTCATTCCCAAAAGACAAAATGAGTCCACTGCCAATGGAAAGATACTAGTGCAATGGAGGGAAACCATCTTACAACTGACCCTCAGAAACTTGCATGGAAACAATTCAATGATGAATTTGATGATGCAAAGCAGAAAATGACACAGGACAGCGAAGGAACCTGGACGGGAACTGCGTGAAAGCAGTAGTCAGCACCGATCAGAGCAGCTTTGGGGTCTGTGGTGGCGGTTACATTGACTGGTAGCTTATGTTGAGGGAAGTACTTGCTGTTGTGAACATCAAATGTAACCATTCACATCATAAGCATTAAGCAAGAACAACCGTGGAAAAAGCGAAATCAGTGACTTAAGGAAATTACCAATTACAGTGGTGGAGATTGATGGATTCACAGAGGGAAGGGTCACGAAGAAGCAAATGGACTTCCAAGTCGGACTTCCTACTAGCCACATGAGCAGCCATTGCGGTACCAAACGATCCTCCTCCAAGAACCACGACCTGTTCGTTCAATTAATCAACCACTCACAGCTTCAATTTCAACCTAATTCACAGCCACACGGAGAAAATTAAAGGAGGAAAAGAACGATAAGTGTGCCTTGTTGGTGCGACGGAGGACGTCGGCTTTGTTTTTGGAGCGCCAAGAGCGAGACCACCGGAGAAGCTTCTCCCAAGCTAATCTAACCACCGGTCGACGATCGACAAGCCCGTCGATATCCCGGCCGCCATTGGTGGCGGTGGAATCGTAGTTGCGGGACGGCGTTTCTTCTTCTGCTCCAGGCGTCGACGCGGAGCAAGGAAGAGGAGGTGGGAGGTGTCTGAAAGAGCAATACGAAGGGGAGTAAGGTGGATGCTTCCATGTCGTCTTGTTCGGCTTGGAGCTGGAGTTTAGAAATGGCGACGGTGGTTCTACTGGTTGGAATTGCAGGGCCGTCATAGCTTTGAGTTGAAGCTGACTGAGAAAGAATAGCGAGAGCGAGAGGAAGCGCGCGGATGTAGCCGTAGTGGATACGTCGGGAAGAAATTGGCCTATAAACTCTAGTACTTTTTTTATTTATTGGGGTTATAGAAAATGGGCCATGATAAATGGAAATGGAGACCCAAAGCCCAATGGAGCTATGTGTAGACCACCGGACCGCCCTTTTGCTTCTTGTAAGTACTTTTTTTTTTTATGGTAGCTTCTTGTAAGTACTTAGTAACCCAATAATAATAGTACAAAAAAAAAAAATGTAGTAACCCAATTTAAAATTACTAACGGTCACTTAAAAACACCAAAATTACACTTTTTCTTTTGTCTATTTTAGATTTTTTTAGCAAATAAATACCACTTTGAATAAGGAAAGAAAAATACTATCAACGAGAGAAAGAATCCATCATTGACATTATAGAGCCGTAATCATCGATAGTACGTACGAATCATGAGTAGCAACTTCCACGAGGTGAAGTTCCCTCCAAAAATAAAAATAAATCGTGAATAAAAAGTGATTTTGGATGGCACCATGGACCAACCGCAAATTTCCTTAGGTTGAATCATGGACCAACCGCAAACGGCAAATGGGCTTCGATTGCACCGAGAGGCAACATAAAATTGACGTCGGTTGAGCGTTATTTGGGATTTTTAGTTTATATCAATATTTTCTATGATTGTGGTTTGTTACATAAGATATTTGTTGATTTTTTGTTTATATCATTTTCTAGATTGACTTGCATAATTATTTTTGAAACTGGAGGATTTTTCAGAAAAAATTAAATTAGTTGTAGTATGCAAATAATAGATTTTGTATGTGAAGTTATGATGATTGTTACATTAAATGTAGTTATGCAATTTTAAATTTATTGTAGAGTACTCTTTAAATTGAAGATACAGAGATGTTAAGTTTTTTTTTTTTTATATAGTTGTGGAGTATCTGATAAGAATTCGAGCTCGTGAAAGCTTAGGTTCTTCTATCAAAGTCGCGCAACTTTGATCTTTTTAGGATTTTCTGGATTTTCTCTCAACAACTCAAAAAGTAAAGGATACGTGGGGGTAGATACTCGCCACAATCAAATGTGATCGCTTGATTGATAAGAGTCTTGCCAAGCTCTTCCGGAATCCTCAACAGAAAAACTCAAACTAGGATCTTGCCCTAGCTATGGAATCCACCGATAGCTAAAACAATAAACCATAAGCACTCATGCTCTATGGGAAAACTCCTCATAGTTAATTTAAGAACAAAACTCTCTAATGTCTAAAATTCGTGTTTACAACCCTTTATATAGTCTAGGGAAAATAAAATAACCAAAAACCCAAAAGGAAACAAAATCCTAAGCCTAAAAGGAAGGCCAAACTCGGCCAGACCTGAAACCCGGTCGGGTATCTTGCTATTCCAGGCCGGGGAAATCCCCTGCCTCATAAACCCGATCTTCTCACCCAAATCCCCGGTCGGGGATTCCTTTATGCCAGGTCGGGTTTTTGCTGTTGGCGTGCTCACATCAGTATCACCTGTAAATTCTGATAATATTGCAGAATATTGGTAGTTACAAGTCGGATGGAAATGATTACACTTCGGATTTTAGCGATGACGTGAAATACCTTACGAATTTGGCAGCATGTGAAGCAGCTATAGAGATTGTCAAGGGCTTGGGGTTTTATTTGGTAAATTCATCAAACCAAAAAATATCCAAGTGAAGCTAGTTGGCGATGTTACTTGAAGTGCACTCATGGTAAGAAGAAAAAGCCGAAGGTTCATGATCCGACTAAGAAAAGGAGGCCTCTTACTGCTTCTGGAAAGTTTGAGGGGCAAGTATCATATCAAGATTGATTATCAGATTATGGATATTGGTTGATCCTAGGGGTGGTAGATACAAATAATCTTGGTGTTAATTTGGGTTTCCACAACCATCAGTTTGAGCTATTTCTGGAGGGGTAAAGTAGAAGCATTTTGACTGCAGATGATAAGCAATACTAGGGGTGGCCGTTCGGTTACCGGTTAACCGACCGGTTAAACCGATAATCGGTCGGTTATCGACTAACCGGTAACCGAACTTCGGTCGGTTATCGGAGGCTAGACGAAATGGTTTTTGGTCTTAAAATTGGGTCGGTTAACCGATAACCGAGAAACCGAAGCCTATTTCGGGCGGTTTTCGGTAGGGGGAGTGGTTATTTCGGTTAACCGATAACCGGCCGATCGGTTATCGGTTATAACCGAAATAACCGATATGCCACCCCTAAGCAATACATCCAAAAGGTGAGTTCGACAAGTATCCCACCAAGGAATATCCACAAGGTAATGAATGAGAGAAAATGGGGCACATGGAAAGTACAACATAAGACCAATTTATAACGAGTTGCAAAAGATAAGGAAAGAAGAGTTTGGTCAAATGACAACCTCATAGTACACTTTCCCACAAGGCTTGAAAGAAGGGTTATTGTGTGCAGTATCTGGACGACCTTAACGTTCTTAAACACTTGTTCCTAGACCACCTGAGTCACTTGTAATGTTGCGAGCTTAACACCATGTGATCGTGATAGATGAAACATACGAGACTAATAAGTATGATCTGCCATGACTTGAGATTGTCGGCATGACACCAGTGGAATTGAACTTTGTCATTGCATATGTGCTAGTGTACGGCAAGACGAATGAGCCATACTAGTGGCTTCTGATGCATTTACAACATCTGTTTGGGTCTATAGTTCAAGATGTGTTTGTCAGTGACAAGACATGAGGATTGGTTGAGACCGTAAGGGTACTGTTTCCATCATCAACTCATATATTATGCCTTTGGTATATATACAGGAATGTGAGAGTAAGGTTTCTAATGGAGGTATGGAGGATGACTTATTGTGGTATAAACGCAACCAAATTGATGTTGAATCATATCATGGCGTCTTGGAAACTTGTTGTATATGCCTTCACAGTGGCAGACATGGACATAACTTTATAAAATATCATGCGTAATAAAAGGAGATCCTTTATATTAAAAAAACACAAAAAAGTCATAACTAACATGATGAACTAGCTGTGGTCATTGCAAAGGCACCCCATCAACACCGGGGTGGGTGATCCCGTGAGTGCAATCTAGTCTGGTACTAGTCCATGTCACCGTTGTCGGTCTCCGATGGGTTCTCAACGGGTCAAAATCAAAATCCAAATGCAGATAATGGGCTGGCAAGTTAGCCCACAATTGATTCGAGAATGAATCCAAGAAACGATGTAACTGCTACAGAAAGTCAAACGGTACTGATAAACTATTACCATCATCGGATGAGGATAGTCTGTTACTATCAATGTTGTCAGAACCGAACCGGAGCATGACGCGGTAATGCGAACGGCTCGTACTTTGTGGTCCAACCGACATTAGATCGTTTAAAAACCGTTAGAGAACCGGTACCTAATAAACGTTATCAGTATAAATAGTGGACATTTCTTAATCAGAGCTCGTCTCTTTCCTTCGAAATGGTCAAATGGAAATAATGATTCAGTTTGAGAGCCCGACGTTTTTGGTTTATTTCAATTTTCAAATTTTCTGTAATTTTCTTAATTAAATTTAACGACTGAATGGAAAAGCCGGACAAGCGGCTCGAGCGGTTAACTGCCTCGGCCGCTCGTCAACCTCTACATAAAACCGGAGCGGCTTTTAGACTGTTCCGAGCCGGTTTTGTGACCGGGTGGCTGTTTTACCGGTCGGGCCGAGCGGTTCGTCTCGTCTTTAATAACACTGGTTACTATCCCCGACACCATGTTGAATCGTATCCCTCAGTAATATCAGAGAAGCACATGACACAAGTGAACAATGAACATAGTACCTCCGTGCCAGGATCTCGCCCGTAAGGAGTTTAGGTCACGTCCTCCGTTGACATCTCATCCAACATCTCTTGATAATGTATCAAGCGATGTTTAGCATCGTCTCAACCTGACAAACGGTGACAGATCCATGGGAAAGCGTGAGGTGCATCTGCAGACTGCAGCAGAATAGTGGAAACTACTCATATATCCAAGCCCAAAAAGAGTCAAACAACCACAAATAACATTACTACCCACTCCTGGCCACCCCCAAATGTTTGTTGAGATATGCAAGTGCACCAGCTCTCCAAGCATAATTGTTCGGCCGTCGATGGTCCCTCAGAAACAAGTTGATCACAAGCAAAGGCATCATGACTCTTATCCAAAAAAGTGTGGATGCATACCACCATTATCGTACCACTTGGAATTCCACTACCACCATCAGGACCATCCACTGAAAGTTGAACTAGACCACCCATATCTGACATGAGAATATCCGGTTGTGCCTCATCTCTCATCTACTCTCCGTAAACTGGAATATGAAGAATGTGATGCACATTGTGTCGAAGGATCGACATCTCTCCAAACGACATGTGGAAGGTGTTTGTGTCTGGATGCCACCTTTCCACAAATGCCAATAGTAGAGCCACGTATAAATGTTGCGTCATGCACCTTATCAAGTGAGACAATCTTGTGGCCGCAACTATCTGCTAGGAACCCTTTGAACTCAATTTATATATACTCAAAGACTCCACAAGTTTTGGTCTATGGAAGCAATTCAACACCCCCATGGTCCTACTCAAGGAACAGTACAAGGTCTACAAGCAACAAAACATAGCTTTAAATGATAGAAGCTCACTGAACCTCCTCCTTCATTGCTGATAATTTCATGCTCTTTCTGCTTCTTTTGCTGCTTGTTTTTTAGAATGAAGAGATGAATGAGCTAAAAGGGAGTTAGGTATTTATTTTCGTTCAACTGAGAAGTAGTTCACTGTTCATCCTAGTTATCCACTCCCAATAATAAACCCTATCCATGGACCCTGTTCTGAGATATGTCGGGATAGAGCGACTTCACAAAATTATTGGAAGTGGTTGGCTACACTTGCCAGTGAACGATAGTAGTTCACCTATGTATGAAACTACTATGCAAAACATGTCATCACGGTTGCCAGCGAACTAGTTTGGATCGTCTTTCTAGGCAATGAACCATACTAGTTCTCTAGGCTTGACAGCGAACAAGAAATGGATCACTTCTTAGGGAAGCAAACAATGATGTTCGCTACACTGGCCCGCGAACCACATGTTAGTTTTCCAACTTTTCAAACAATATTGTTTGCTCTACTAACCCGTGAACTATTTTGTAGTTTGCCCCACCATGCATCGAACATCCCCAAACTTAGACACTTGGAAAATTTTATGTTAAATGTTGTATTGCATGGATTTTATTTTATAACTTATGTATTTAAAGATTTTTTCCATTTTATGGGTTAGTTAATATGTAAAGCAACTCAATATGCATGTTACCTTCATGCTTTCTCGATCCTTTTTCTTAAACATGTTTTTTACCTTAACCTTACATTTCTCATTCTCGAGGTAGGAAGTATTCAATGGATCAACAAAAGAAAAGGGAGCATATGTGCTCACTACTGATTCTAGATGATGTTGTAAGTTCTTGTTTAATACCCAAGTAATAGTAGGCACACGATACATCTCTTGTCCTCTCAGTGTAAGCAGTGGCATATATAGAGAATTGTCGAGGGTGAGTCCATTTAGGAAACAATACATACGATAAAATAGTTTTATTAGATTTTTAAATAATTTATGATAAAATTTTGTATTTACAAAAATTTGGTAAATTAAATATGTGTGGAACTATCAAGATATTACTCTATATGTGTCAAACAATTATTCATGATTTAATTAGAAATTTGTTTTTGAATGTTGTTCTTTGTCAAGACAGTTTAGTATCAATAACTCGAGCTGATTGATTTAATGATAGATCTAATATTATTTAGTATTCACAAACACTTCCCCGCTAACAAAAACTAACTTATATGTGTTTAAAGTTTTTGAATATCTGAATATCGTGTGCTTAGTAAATGGGAACGCCAAGATTCGAACACATGATCTCTCAGTCAACCATTCTCAATCAGAATTGCCTAAATTTCGTTTTAATTAACTATTATACTAATTTACCCATTTTCGTCCTTAGGAGCTCTGCGTGGGATGAAGGTGGAATGGAAACAAGAGATCACTTGTTTGCTTCCTGTTCGATTTCACATCAGGCGTTTTATGCTCTGGTAAGTAGGATTACTTCACATATCCACAACTCTGCGTGGGATGATGAACTGCACTAGGCAATGTGAGTATTTGGAGGTTCTGATGAGGTGCATGAGGCAGAGAAACTGATCTCGCAATCATGGATTAGTCATATTTGGAGGGAGAGGTGTATGATTGAGTATGTAGGGGTTAGAAGGGATGCAAACTGTCTATCTAAGGTAATCAAATATGAAGTTGAGTGTATGGTAGGAACTCATATCAATCAGAATTGTGGAGTTCTTAATAGTTTCGATTGGCTTGTACTGAGTTCTAGTATATTCTTTTACCTTTGTTTGCGTATAAAATAGCATAGAGTTATGACTTATAAATCCCATGAATGTTGACCTAATTAGCAAAGTTGAACCTAGTGACAGCCCCTTTTGATGAATAACCCCAACGATTCAAATAAAAAAAGAATGAGAACCTTTTAATGATCTATTTATGTTTTATTTCCAAAAATCCACATATTTCCCTTTTTCTTCCCCCCCCCCCCCATCCCACTTTCATTTCTTTAGTCACACTAGCATTGGGCCCGACCCGTTGGCCGATGCTTTTGGAATTTGAAGAACAGAGGGAGGGTTAAAAAGCATAATCTCTAAGTAATCGTTCAAGTTAATCCAAAATTTTAGCTTATGAGATTGTATTTCAAGGTTTAAACTGAACTGTAGCTTCATAAGAGCACTATCAAATAGTTAAAAAATTTGTGTTGAAATGATTAAAGTTAATCCATTATTGGAAATTGTAATCAAATAAAAAAACGAATAGAAAGGCAATAAGCACAGGTGCACAACACCAACAATTAGAACAAGATTACATACATGTATCCGCCAAAACCCAACTATAAACCTATAATAAAATCTTGAAGTTTAACAGAGGAGGGATGTAACTATTCTTATATCCGAACACAACAATTAAACACATTCATGGATCAAGTTATCAGAGGCTGCTGCTGATTACTTTCTGGAGCTGGTAGTAATCTGTTCTTCAGCCAGGACAACCGTTTTTTACATGTTCCTCGGTTTACTTTGCTAGCATTCAATAACATCAAGATCAAAGTTCTACTCAACCTATTTACATCAACGATGTTCCTAAGATTACAATGGCTTACATTTTGGATGATAATAATATTACATATTTTGAAGGGGGGAAAGACAGCAAACACCAATTATCAGATTATCTATAAAAAGTGCAGCTAAGTTTGGCAACAATTTTTCGTTAATAGAGGAAAAATAACATTATATAAAATGAAACAACCCTTTTCAGTAGCTAAAATCAGTTTGTACTAAACTTGACATTGATTTGGCAGTTACGAACGAAACTTGAGAAACAATAGAAGAGAATCTATAGGAGGGAAAACAATCCAACATATGGGAAAGGATTGTAGACAAAGAACTATAATATCGTCCACCATTCAAATTAAACAAAAGAGGAAAATTCATACGCGAAACAGCCCAGAAACTGAGTTTCAATAGGAACCTGAATAAAGATAAGTGTAAACATCCGATAGAGAAAAAAATATTACTAAACAGAAGCATCAGATGGTAGTCCTTAGGCACACAAAGGTTTCAGCAACACTACTTCTCCTTGTCAGAACATAATTAGGAGCATATTTCATTTTTCAGTGAATTGTCTTGGAGTCTTAGTGAACTGCTGCAAGAAATTTTTGGATATAAGGTAGTTTTAAACTATGAAAGTAATCTGGTGACTTATAGCACAACTAAAGTGACGTGCAGATGGAAGTCATTTACCTGAAGTAGATCATGCTCAATGCTAACCACAAAATACTCAGCTTGTGGGTTCAGTTTATTGAACTAAGTTTGTTTAACATTTAGTTTTAGTGTCATGTTGACAATCTATTGGATCTGAGGATGAATATGTTCTTTGTTCCTCTGGTTTGATTGGAATAACACATCATCCATGACTAAAAAAAACGCAAACGTTCATGCTCTTAGATAGCAAAATCAGCTTCTCCAGTATCATCTTCCAACTGAAACTTAACCCTATACCTACGGTGAGCATGCAATAAAATTCAACAAAATCATAAATGCGCATGCCTCATTCATATTATGAAGTAATATCAATGTTGTCAGAACCGAACCGGAGCATGACCCGGTAATGCGAACGACTCGCACTTTAGTGGCCTAACCGGCATTAGACCGTTTAAAAACCGTTAGAGAACCGGTACCTAATAAACGTTATCAGTATAAATAGTGGACATTTCTTAATCAGATTCATCTCTTTCCTTCGAAATTGTGAAATGGAAATAAGGATTCAATTTGAGAGCCCAATGTTTTTGGTTTTTTTCAATTTTCAATTTTCTACAATTTTTTGAATTAAATTTAGTGGTTGAATAGCAAAAACCGGACGAGCGGCTCGATCTGCTCGAACGGCTAACCGCCTCGGCCGCTCGCCAACCGCTACATAAAACCGGAGCGGCTTTTAGACTATTCCGAGCCGATTTTGTGACCGGGTGGCGGTTTTACCGGTCGGGCCGAGCGGCTCGGCTCGGCTTTAATAACACTGAGTAATATACTAATTTGATATCAAAGAAACAATAAAATGTGCATAATGAGGATGTACAAAGCAAGAATAAGATTATCAACTTACTTGGCTTTAGCAATGGAAGATGTCGTCTTACAATGGCCACAAAAGTACTCTTCCAGGTCCTCTTCCACCTTCCGAGGGCACACAAAATAACCCATGTAGCACCAATTAGGATGCACTTGGGTCAATTTCTCTTCAACCGCAAATAGTTTGTCCTGAACTTCACTCGAAACAAAAGTTAAAACTTGGAATAATTAAAGGTGCTAAAATCATGACAATGTTGAAGTAAAAACCCTTACATTCTGGTCTTCCAAGGTTTTGAAATCATTTAGCCGAGCAATGATTTTTTTTTGGAATCTCACCAACTGGTACCTCAGCAAGCAACACAGGTGCATTGAGATTTGCTTTCCAAGAATGTAATAAAAGATTAGTTTCATAACTTGCTTGGGCCAACAACTTTCAATATTGAAATTGAAGGCAGCCAAATAACCACATATACATAGGAATCCCATGAAATAGAATTAAAGGACTCAAATAAGTTCATTCTTACATTATGATAGTGATTGGTGTTAATGAGAATTGAAATTAACTTGCTAGCTATAAGAACTCATGTCCAGTGTTGAAAGGAACATTATTATAATTCTTTAGTTACTGATCCCATTTCGTTTCAAGGGAACTTGATTCCTACAATTCAATAGTAGAGGCAAGCCTTCAACTTGCTGATAATTATAAATAAGAAGCAGCACACATAAGAACAACTGCATCTTCAAATGGGTTTACAGTTCTTAGTTCAATTTCACATACCACCCTTAACGCGCTACCCTCTCTGCATCGACATCAGCTAGAGTCGAAGCTTCAGGGGACACACAAATTGCCCTTCCTTTCCCTAACATAGACACATTGGAAAACAACAGTAATAAAAGAAAAATTAATTTCAATGTGTATACGATATTCAATCTTAGAAAATCAGTATACTAAGAACAAAGAGAACATATTACATCGAGTAGTAGCAGAGTTAGCACTGAGTGGAGGATTGTCTGGGGAAGAAGAATTGTTAGTGCGACTACGTTTAGGCAGCATTGCTGCAATTGTAGTACACACAGCGGGAAACCAACAGAGAAATTGGACCTGAATCCACTAAGACACTGTCAGATTGATGTAATAACAGAAATTGATACAATATGGTATCGTTAAGGCCTGCAGCACATAATTAGAAGGGGTTAGTTCGCAATTGCATAAATTCGCTATAGAAGAGAAGTAGAAAGGACATGTCATAGAAAGGCTACACAAAGGAAAAATAGAAAACATGTTACAAAGATGAACCCACAATTTACGCAATGACAATGCTACTCGGCCAGACGACTGCAACGTGTGACAGGTTGGGAGATCAAGCAAGAGGCCGCATGAGAGAGACAACAAGAGAGACAAATCAAGCTACGTGACTGCCATGACAACAAGAGCGATTCGTGATATCTTGCCCGAACCTTCAAGGCAAAGCAGATGCCAACAAACTCAGCAACGAAAGGGGAAGTAGATAGAGAGGGCGACGGTGGAGGATTTTGATTTGAGACTGAGTGCGCAAAAAGGTGGGACCTATGATTAGGATGGAAGAATAGAGAGGTCACCAGAAGGGAATTCGCTTTTAGGTTGAGTGTGGCAGAAAGGAAGGTGGGGGATTTTGATCACAGATTGCTATTGGGATGAGTCGGCGAGAAAGAGTTTGTTGCTTTCCGGTTGTACGTTGGGGATTTTAATTTGAGATTGCGGATGAGGACAACCGGCCAGAGAGAGTTTACAGTTTCTGTTTGGAGATTGGCAAAGACCGATTTTGACATTGGCTTATAGTATTTTGTAGATGAGAATCTTGTAATGGTACATTTTTGTTATCATTTTATTTATGTTGTGTTAAAACCTACATTTTTGTTCATATATGGTTATGTATCG